GGGAGACAAGTGGGAGACAAATGGGAGACAAGTGTGAAATCATGCGGCCAAGCACTCAGAGCATCCAGAGCTTACTGGGAGACAAGTGGGAGACAAGTGGGAGACAAGCCTGAAATCATGCGGCCAGAGCACTCAGAGCATCCAGAGCTTACTGGGAGACAAGCGGGAGACAAGTGGGAGACAAATGGGAGACAAGTGTGAAAACATGCGGCCAAGCACTCAGAGCATCCAGAGCTTACTGGGAGACAAGTGGGAGACAAGTGGGAGACAAGGGTGAAATCATGCGGCCAAGCACTCAGAGCATCCAGAGCTTACTGGGAGACAAGTGGGAGACAAGTGGGAGACAAGGGTGAAATCATGCGGCCAGGAACACAAGCCCGGAGACAAACTCAAAATCATCCGGCCCGAGCATGCACCCCTTTAAAAGGAGTAAGAACCCCTCACAGGTAAACCTGTTTGGGGAAAAAACTCGTTTCAACCTCTGGGGTACCATATTCTATAGAGTAAATGTCAATGGGGATGGAAAATACTATATAAATACTATTTCAATGGGGAGTAAGTTTCAATGGGATCCAAAGTCAAAGAAAAATGATCGCTGCTCTTCAGTCTCAGACTTTTTGATGTCGGATGATGCTTTCACTGTTGTTTCAACCCCTTGGAACGATCTGTCTTTCGCAGAACGTGGATTCCACCACATCTCAGACAATGGAGGTTGAACTTCCAATTCCCCCAGTGAACATTCCCTGATCAACCAGGATCTGTTCAACGACCCGTTGCTTGGAGCACATTTGGTCCAAGCTCAAACGAAGGCCACACGGGCAACTTTGGCCCTAGCCTGCTGGCGTGCCTTTGGGTGAAAACACTCTCCCCACACAAAAGCTCCCTGTTCTTTGGTCTGTACAAGGCCCACTTATAAATATAATATATGATATATGTCAACCAGTCGCAGATGGGATGGGCTGGACTTCCAGAGAAGATTAAGGACAAGCAGAGTCAATCAGAAGTTGCTGTGCTTCGCAGAAGCCATACTCTTCGCAATCCCACAGCTCACATGACGCTTCGCTATCTGTGTCTACTTCGGACCCAGCATGCAGAGATCATCCGAGACATTGCTCCATCGAAAGCAGCTTCCCACCGAGACAGTGTTTTCGTGGCGCGCGCCATTGTGCCGGCTGGTCACTAAGGGACGCCCAAAAAAGAATACCATAGCTTGGGAGAGCCCAGGTTCAGGGCATCCCAAGCACTTGAAAAATGGGTGTGTCTCACTCAGACAGAACGGAGTTGGGGGTCAACGCCTTTTGAGGTGGTTAGGGACTCTCCAAACATCGTTGACTCAAGGAAACGAAGATGAAGGAGAAGCAAAACCATCAGGGACCGTTGAGCCCTTCCAGAGTGCGGATGTCCAAACTTTGGGGATTGGATTTCTCTGGAAACCGATGACTTCGCTGGGTTGGATTATGCAGTTCCACCAGGTGAGAGAGAGCCACACCCAGCTGGGAGACTTGTGCTCCCTCAAAAGGTGCAGAGCTGGGCCTGAAAGAGGGCCTTTCAAAGGGCAAATGTGGACAGGAGATCATGCGCACTCCTGGAGCTCACATGGAAGTGGATGCTGATGCCACCCTCTGCTGGAAATCTCCGAAAAATAGTCTTCCTTTCTTTCGGGGCGAATGCCATCCACGTTGGCCCATGTTCGTTGCTCATTCCATGTACAAGTCGCTTCATTATTTGACCATTCGCGTGCGTCTGGTCTGGTCGAGTTCCACTCCAAAAAAAACGTTGGCCCCATCATCTGACAATAACTTCGGTGGCTCGTCCCCATTCTCAAAGGGGCCGGTGGACTCGAAGAAAATTCCAAGGGTTGACCCGAAGATACACACCTGCACCAGGTCCTTTGGTGCAGTGACCTGGCCTTCTCTGCACCCCAAGGGACAGTGTTTGTGAAGAAGGGGGCCTTCTTTTATCGATGCGTCCACTGCTTGTCTCAACACTCCTTTCACGCGTCTTTAAGAAACCTAAAAACGGGCTCCAAGGGAAACTGTTGCGTCCAGCATGACCGGGAGACCTATCCGACTGAATCATGGCCCAGCTGATCTGCTGAATCATTTTGGCACTCCAAAAGCCCCGGAACAGATGGTGCCCGGCTCAGCTCAAGGACACGCAAGCGCTGCACCCGAAGTCCCAGCAGCTTTGATGCTCACTTCGTCGGTCGATCGAGACCCAGCGCCCGCTCAACTCGGGCGGGACTTGGTCATCGCCACACACCTCGAGTGCTCCGGAGCAGGCATCTCCACTGAAAGCGGCATCCAATCGACATGCGAAGAACTTCTGAACCTGTTTCCGACCCGTTGGATGGCCGCGTTCGTTCGGCCGAACGGATGACGCTTGAAACACCAGGCGTCACCTGAAACAACGCGTGCTCCAAACACCGGGCATGGTGGTTCCGAACGGGGGGGGACCCCGAGCAGATGCTCTTAAGCATGGCAAACAAATCTGCCGCACAAGACCTCTGAAAGGTCTTACGCTGCAGTCTAGTCCACTTCAATCGGTTCATCCGTTCATGTTGGTTTGCTCTACTTTTTCGGGAAAGAGCTTCCAGACAGGTCAAAGAGGACCTGAGACGTATCGCGAGGTCGCCACATCTCGTACAAGTGGCAGCGACAAGGCCTGGCTCCTCCTGTCAAGTAGTGCAAAGAAGCGATGGCGATGGATTCAGCTTGGCACTATGGAGGCTACACGACTTGCTAATTGGAGCATGGAGTATCTCAAGAGTTCCCCCTGTCTTGTCCATTCCTGCAGGATTCATGACCAAAGAGGAAGAGTTTGGTACGCTCACCGGCTTGCAAAGTGAAGTACCAGAGTCAAAGGCAGCTCCAAAGAAGGACCCAACCAAATCCGAGGGACATATATGATATAGATGAATCGAAATGATCTCTTCCGCCATATCTGAACATGAACTGGTTGAACGCCATGTCATCAACCATCGTTTTAAGATATAGACATGGCCAGAACTTCTGAACATGAACTGCCCTTTGAAAAATGCACTTGAGGCCGAGGGTAGGTGACGAAAGCTAGCAGGGGTGCATCCGGACTGGTGGGACATCAAGCGGAGTGAGGCAAATGCTCATGAGGTAAAACGTTGTGAACATGTAAGACACACAAACAGCAATGACACAGCCAACCTTAGAATTGAAGTCCCCGATAATTAAGGAAGCGTGGCTGGACTTTGCCACACTGTTCGATGCATCCGATGTGTTCACGAACCTGTGAGCTTGTTGAATCTGTTGCACCGTATCCAGTGTGGATGCCATAAGAGGTGCCCAAGAGGTGTCCCAGAGGCAAAACAAAGCTGCTTGCATGATTTGTTTGGTTTCTTCTATCGATGTCGATGTCATGAACATGTGAGTTTGTTGAATCTGTTGCACTGTATCCCGGAGGAGTTAAGCCAAAATGGATGCCATAAGAGATGCCCGAGAGGTGTCCCAGAGGCGTCCGAGGGGGGAGTTGAACCCACGGGGGGGGGGCCCCCCCTACATATGAAGTTTTCACGTGATGCGGCGATCCCGAGGATTCCAGCCCCTCACTTGCTAAAGCAAGGACAACTCCAGCTAGCTGGTGCTAGCTTTCGTGATCACCACTTCCCAGGGATGAACAGCTGAAGCAGCGTGAGACGGAATGAACGGACTCCCCGGTCGGACCCGGCCTGTGGGGCACCAGCTTGGCCTCCGGTGCGACATCACTGCGAGGTTTGGCAGGGAGGTTTGGTGCTTGGTGACTCACTCACAGACGCTGGCTGTATCTTCCCAAAGTGATGAGGTTCTAAAACAATTATCCCGGCAAGAGACCCCAAACAGTGTGTGTGTGAGGTCTATAGGATCTAGATGTATTGGGGTCCAGAGAGGCGATGGTGGTGAGTGAGTGTGGGTGAGAGTGAGTGAGTGAGAGTGAGAGTGAGAGTGAGAGTGAGAGTGAGAGTGAGAGTG